TTTTTTCGAGATCTTGCGGAACCAGAGAGGTGTTGCCTTTTGAGGGCAAAAACTCGCATGAAAAATTCAGAATCCTCGACGCTCTCTCTCGACAAAATTTGAGAGACCCTATCTTTTCGGGTGGAAGGATTTTAGATCAACTTCAAATATTGCCGTAATAGCAAATCCAACTCTCCCATACTGCTCCAAAGGTTATGAAATGGGGGAATGGAACCTTTTCATCGAGAGTGTAGATTTCGACGGTTTCGAGCGGGGTTTCGGCAAATCTGACCCACGGATAAACCGCGCTGCAACTGAATGCTTTGCTGTACATTGATGGAACTCGCTTATTCACATCAAATCAAAGTTAGAGGGGTCGTATCAAGACCCGATCTGAGGGAGGGGGTCGTACTGATGTGAGCCACGTCCTGGTACATCGTTCGATCCGCTGGGACATAGTTCGGTCCGCTGGTACACAGCTCGATTCGCTGGTGCATTCGCTAACGAATCGCTGAATTCGCAAAGTCTGACATCGACCTTATAAGAAAAAGAAAAAACGAAACACAGGCTGCGCAGCGCAAAGCTTCGCAACCAGTATTCGCCATGCGCTGTGTGTGTATTATTATTCTAAGCTTTTTTGAAATGCTGAGAGTTGAGAAGCGGGAACATGTGTGAGAGCAAGAGGGAGAACTGAGAGTCACCCATCTGTCCGGCCGATTCTGATGTGGAGGCCGCATTTTCGTATGGGAAGGGGAAGGTAGTAAATGGGGTTGATGAAGGTTGAAGGTGGAAAAGGGAGGGGTCGTAGCTTCGGAAGTTGGAGGTGTCATGTTTAGGGTAGAGGAGATTGTTTTCCCTCAACAAATCTCAACAAAGGTCAACAAATAAGCGCATAATCACGATATTGTGCAACCTAGAAAAGAAGGTAAACGGCGAATGTCTTCAGAATTACCTCAAATTTCCGTATGTAACTGGAGGGGCTAATCTTTCTCTACAATAAGACACCCAAACTGCTTGAACGGTTGCTAAGAAAATGCCAAAAATGGAGAGAAATAGTCGGAGGAAAAGCAGCGGATAGTTTCTCACAAACCTAATATATACTCTTTTAATTTTTTTTCACTTTGAGTTAATGCGCTTACTCTCATGAAAAACCGGTCAGATTGAACTACTCAGTGTGAACTGCTGAGTTATCTCCGAAGGAAATATCACCCTGATCATTGTGGAAAATGGTGACTTTTTCTTCTGTTTTCAACATGGGCATAGCCGGTTTCCATCATTTGCATTCAGAGAGCTAAAGCGATCGCTACGCAACGCCTAAAGTTGTACTGGGAAGGCAAATTGGACAAATGTTTTCTGGAGAACCATCCACCACCAGGACAGGTCAAGCAAGATTACTTCGAGTGGAATACTATCAACTAGATTTGTGTATGTGTAGAAATTAGATAAAGCGTGTCTTTTGTATCTTCCATTTTTTGTGTTGAACGTGTAGTGCGAAATTGTATCTCCATTGATGAGCTGCTGCTTAAGTAATCGTAGTTATCGTAACATGATCATGAAGCATGTGCTATTAGAAGATATGCCCGACAGAAACGTTGCACCAGAGGAAGTCAAGTTCATCCCTGGTCCGTCATCACCTGGCTCTCTTTTTGGTCAGGATTGGCAAGAAAGACGAGCGTATCTTCGTCCAAGTGATAACATAGTGATCATGCTCGCTGAAAGAGAACGAGGTTATACGCGTAACGGTTTGTGGTCACAGTTTTTATTATTTTTTTACTCTTATTTTGTGAATGTAATGGTTAGCGTAGCTCATTCGACCCATGTTCCTTGTGAGTTTCTGTTTGCAATTGATTCTCTTCTACCTTTGCGTTGAATTGGAGATTCGATTCAAAAAAAAAAAACGCACTGGGGTATGCTGGAGTGAAGACTCGATACTATCTGTTGAACTTTTTAACCTGGCCATTTGTCAGTAATTATTCCCTATCACGCTATTACACTTTCTTGCAACTTATACCTCAATAATATCCACGTTCAATTTTCAGAGAATCTTGGTACTGCGAGAATTACTTTCTGATGGATTTGTTAAGCTGCCAACAAGGAAACCTTTTTTCTTGGTTGCGGCTCAACAAACCCAACCGAAAGACAATACTTCAATATTTTTTCATCATCACGCATTTCAACTTGCTCCTGCCAACTCATGGAGCAACCTTTTGACTAATGTTATGGAGTAATTCTCACCTTTGGTCGCATTAAAAAAGATTTCTGTGTAGAACGCGGGTATTTGGTGAATCGAAGTGGTATTGTTGATTCAAGTCGTAGACCTTCGATAGGAACCAATTTCGCTAAGGTTTTTAGTTGGACATCTGACAATTGTTATATTCAGTACATCTAGATAAGGGGATTCAATAGGTCTGCTGGGATCAGATAACCTTAGCGGAGAAGGTTTAAGGGATTTGGAGAAGAACGTGGCTGAGAGTGTATCAATCTGTTCCAATTAATTTGTGATAATGATCTGGTATTCTCTCGTGTCATATTCCATTTTAGAAAAGGCAAGAAGAAAACTCCTTTTTAGGTGTAGAGTTGAATACGCCATTCGTGGACGTGAGGGTCAATTTAGTGTGCAAGTGTACCTACCTTTTTTACAACTGTCAGAGTTTAAGCTGCAGTAGATCCTCCTCCCTTGAATCATAAATTAGCACTTTTTGGGGTAGCGCGTTTTCAGGTAGATCTTCTTTATTTTTGATTTAGTCTCTATTTAGGTGTACGGCATGTTCGCAATCGACACGATGAGTTTTATTCGACTGTGGCTATGGATCGTATAGTTGAGGTGCCGTTTGATGAACGAAGCTTCCATTCACATATGCTCTGTGCGGCGTTATATCTCATCTTGTTTCCTGAACACGTTCAATCTTTTAAATTCTTTTATTGTTGAATCTGTACAGAACCTAACTTTTGAAACTCTACAGAAACATAATTTGGTCTTTTAATACAGACTGGCTCGTAAACGATTTTTTGGGTTCAGCTCGCACCTGTTAACAGAAAACACTCTTGAAACCTTAATCGAGGATGATGGTGGATTGATTGGAATGAATATCAATAAATACGCATGCAACATCTTTAAAGGAATCTTCCACGGACCATGGACCAGTGGGCGGGACCGGAAGTGGTTTTGCGACGAAATGCATGGTAGGTACGGATCCACGTTCATGGGAAGGTTTGAAGTGAATCCTGTTCACGTTCGTGCGTTCGACACGTGGATCCGTACCTACCATGCATTTCGTCACAAAAACTTCCGGTCCCGCCCACTGGTCCCATGGTCCGTGGAAATAACCTTTAAACTCCCATAGTGCCCGGCTTGTCATGAGGTCTGAAAAAGATAATTTCATCACCAAGATTTCAACGGTCACGAAAGCCGATCAAGCGTCTTTGAGTGAAAGAAAATAAATGCGGTTAGGTGGTGATTTTAGTTGCTTTTGCTATTTTATACATCAGATCCCATCTCTCGCATTCTGGCAGGAGTGAACGTTTTGCGTATAGAGCAATTTGCGGATTAGAACATGATATAAGTTGTTATTGAAACGTGCATTATTCATCCATTTTCCCTTTTTGATGTAAGAGCAAGTCCGAGATGTTTGGACGGCTATCATTTCAACAGTTCTTAATCCGCTACCAACGCAAGTCCTGTGTCCGTCTTCTAAAGGTACCGGAGCTCGTCATCCTGCAAGATCAGTTTTATTCATGGACACCAGATGGCTCTAAAACTTATCACCTTTTCGTGTTTAATGCTCGTTCCGGCCTTCGAATCTTCTCGTTATTAGGCGTGAAAGTGCTCGTTCAAGTGCTGCAGAGAATCTTTGCGAGGTAAAGCTTTCTTCCAGCAGCTCGAATTCACCTTTCCAGATTAATTTCTAGTCTAGTCTATAGCGGTATTATTAGTCGTATTTGATTGAAAATATGTTCTATATTTAGCGATTATTTGAATTGGAATCTGAGGTGACCATGATGATGGGAACATCTCGTTTGGAGAGTGCTTCATTACGAACGGATTGCATGCTATTCACTGATGATGGTAACTATATGATCGTAGCAACAACAGCACCGGTGCGGTCTCCTCTCGGTTCACTTACACCTTTTTTGTTTTACATATTTTTGTTGTTATGCGCACTACTTTCTAGCACTAACCTCCTCATGGTCTGTTCTCCATGTTTTGCTTTCAAGTCTTACAATCTGTAAAGGGGAGACATGCGGCAAAAATGGCTCTGTCAGGGTCCTCACTGTTGGACAGTTCTTGACCGGAGCTAGTACCAGAGTCAACCCTGCGTTGCGCAGTTCGCAACGGCACGTTGAGAGATCCTCAACGCACGCTGTATGGGCGGAGACGCAGACGGCTCGAGCATGCGAGTGTGAATGTTCGCGCGAGAGAACGTGTCTAATCGGGCGAAACTGCGCAACGTGGCCGTTGAGAACTGCGCAACGCAGGGTTGACTCTGCTAGTACTCAACCGATCACTGGACACAGCCCCTATCCTTGACCATGGAGAACGCGTTGTCGACCGGAGTAGGGTGGCACAATTTCAAAAACACATTTCCAGCTAGGTTCTGCTGCGTACGCTCCTGAGACTGAACTACTGCAGTGTTAGGCCAGTAAGACTTGCTAGTCTTTTTAGACGTAGGCTTTCGACACCAGACTCGGAATGTGGGGAGCTTTAACATGTACATGAGAAGGGCTCATTTTTTCATTTACTAGTGCATCGTTCACGGCATCGCTCGTACATCGCGATTCGGTGGATATGCTAACTCTGACACCGGCCTCACAATTCCGCCTTGGTGTGTGACTATTATTCATCAAAAACAGTGTTTTAGGCACCCGATCAACTGTTAACAATACCCATGGCTTATCCGAATACTGAAGCCTTGCCAGTTACAAACTACAGTCTTGAAATTTACACGTTCTTCACGATAGATATAAAGGTAAGGTCTATTTCAGTTACCGGGAGTCATACTTTTCTCACTGCTGTGTTTGCTGAATTCTTTTTGATGACAGCACGAGTTTTGTTTTCCCTTTCGTAATTGGTTCGTAAGACCTCGGTCAGACGGAGTCGCTGGGCGACGATAGGATATAATCAGGAAAAGACTGCGTGGGATGCACTTGAATGCGAGGAAAGTGGTCCTGTAATAATTGACGTGATGAAATGACCCACCAAAAGAAGTTGTGAAATACAACTATCATGGATTTTCCCACTCGATCAAAGAACCAATCAAGTTTCGAGCTAGTTACTTCAAGATACCTTTGAAGTTATTACAATGACAGGGAGGACCACTATCCTGATTAAGAATTTGAAAAAAAAAACCGAGCAGAACAACATGAACGATGGGTGAGGATGATTAATCTCCCCCTGCCAACCGATATCGATCGTGTGCTGAGTCATCGCCCGTTGCTGCCACTCTTGTGCCGGGCAACTCCGTCGCTGGTGTACAGCGACGCAATCGCCGAGTCTGACCGAGGTCTAACTGAGACAGTGCTGCGGAATGTCTTGATATGTATAGTTGATCCGGTTAAACCTGTGAGCTTATGCTCCCGATTAATCACATCCGCTGCTATCGCTGTTGAAAAAAGGTTGACTGTTCAAGTCATGAATTACAGAAAGGTTCTATTGCGCACTTTGTGATGTACAATTTCGACCGGATAAATCTCACACATGGCGTGGCTCTTTGCGGCACAACCATGATGATAATGTCACTGCAGAAGCAGGTGGGCTGTCTTAGCTTTCACTCCGAAATTTTTTAGATTTTTGCAAGTTGTAGTGATTTATTATTCTCTAAGCGCTATTGAAAATGTTGGAGGGTCAACCTTTCCAGATCATTCATATGCTTCATGTCGACGAATTCGGTGCGATGATACCATTGAAGGACATCGGTGCTTCAATATGGGATGATGATGGACTGTACCTATTGTGAGTTCGCTTGATCTCGAGAAAATGGGTCACAGAGACAGGGCATTTTATCCAGCAAGGGAATAGCTCTTCATATTGTACTGAGCAGAGTTTTCATCAGAAGGCAGCTCATTAGAATCGAGTTAGAGGTGGTCATTGAGCCGGATTGAAAAATCATGACTTATGAGCCAGAACCCGAGAAATGGCCCCTTCCTTGCCCGTTGATTTCCGCACTGATGCGACTCTCATCGGTGCTGCCCTCTTCAACGCTAACGCTCTCTGCTGAAAGGCTAGAGACCTGCGGCGAGTGGTTAGCCAGTCGGTGGGCGTACCGCGTCGATAGCGCTGCGGGGAAAGCCAGGCTAAATCGCGGGGCGCACCCTTTGCTGCACCCTCACAGGGTCCGCTTGTCTTTTGATAAGCTCCCCTTTTTCGACCTTCGACCTTTTCGTGGAATCCTCCTCAAATCCTCCTCGAACAATGCGGCAAAAAAGGGGTCAGCAAAAAGTTCCTTGAGACGTGTTCATTCTCCTGTCCTCTTGCGTAACACAGTAACTATGTTTTTTTTTACTGGAATTTTGTTCTTTGGGAATAATCTCGTGCAACCTTTTGATTATGCAATTTTTTTGCAAGATTTTCTTGAAGGAACACTAAGCAACTCCCCTGTGCTACCATTTCTTCTTTCTCAAGTGTCCACTACATCGCTACAAATGTGCAACTTGTGGCACGGTCGACGGCTAATACGAGCTACAATTCTCCTGTGATCTAGTGATTTCATGGATATAAATTTTTTTAGTGGTGACTGCCAAGCAACGCCGACACGAACTTCTCTTTATACTGGATTGAAACAGCGGCTGCTCACATTCCTTTATAAAGAGGCGAAACGAGAAGGCAATGTGGAAGAGTTCTTGCGTCTTACACCATCTTATGTGGAGAAGTTACGAATGCATCGTGCTCAACTCTTCGATGGTCATTATCTGCTTGTCAGGATGCTACCACGTAAGTTCTTTGGCAATTTTTGTAATTCTTTCTATTGCTACACTCCTGCTTTCTTAGTTACTGAATAAATACCTTCACATCAGTTGTAAACAACTGAAGAGGGCTCAAGCCTTGTTGTGTGGGAACTAGATGAAACAAGAAAAAGGGACAGGGCTAAACTAGTTTGAGGCCATTTTGTGCAAGTGTCGCTCTAACGCTTACCATAAGGCTGAATAGATTACGAGGTGTGAAATCCGTAGTATTAACCATAAGATTTTCATGAACACTTCCCCTCATTGGGCCTACGTGGTAGTTAATAATGCAATTTAGATACTTCCATACGGTACGATATCGCGCTGATGCCATGTTTTCTATTCATCTTGGATTGGAGAGATTGCAAGATTCTGGCAGTTTACCAAGAGGTTTGATCAACCTTATTTGGCAAATAAATCTGCTTCATTTGCTTTTTAATTAATTTGGTTTTAGTACGGACCTGAGTTGTTGGCGTTCTATGAAAACTTCGTCGAGGTTTTGTTGACTCCAACGCAAAACCCGCATCGGTATCCAAAGTCATTTCAATACAATCCGCATTCGAAGCAGAAAGCACATTGGTTAATGGGCAATAGTTCAGGAAGTGAGTTTTTTGAGGTAATCGTCCTGTATAGTCCTGCATGTTTACTGCGACTTATGTCTGGGATGGTGACATACGTAGTTTGGGAATCAAACGACTAATCGAAATCCATCGAAACTCACTACGTCCTCAGGGTCGGGTCACACTTTGCAGTTCGGTTTGCAGTCCGATTGTGGAGTGGATAGCAAGGTATGACCCGACCCATACATCCTCTGTGCTCTTCAGTCACTGTCAGTTACTGCCAGATGCACTGCGGAGGGGGTCATGAAAAAATGACACAAAAAAAAAATGCTGGTTATAGTGACAACCGTCATTAAAAACCCAGAGCGTCCATATTATTCGAATGATTTTAGCTAAGGCTGCTACCTTATGCGAGTGTATCAATTGTTTTTTACCATTCACATTACAACTTGACGAAATTTAGCCATCGAGAGATGTAAGCCTTGACTGTTTTGCCGGGGGTTTGGTCTGAGTCCACTAGGTGTAATAACATTGATCTGAACATGGCTTCACAAATCGTTGTATTCGTAAAATTGCATTCAAATTCCTCTAAAATTTCAAGTGGAACTCGATGGACGCGCATACAGGAGGAGCTCATATGCACCACTAAAGTTTTTTCATTGTTTATATGGCATTTCCGCAATACTGTGTTGTGTTTTCAGCTATGTCTGAAGGAATGTATCGAAGAGTCCTCTCGGTTCTGCCTTTTGCGGCGCAGTGATGTGCTGCGAAAATACACTGCTCGAATAGTGATTGGCATATCATTTCTGAATTAATTTTTAGCATTCTTCATCGGAAAATCCTTACCTCGACCCTTATACTTTTCGATTGATGAGAAAATTCATTCGAATCTGATGTATGGTCGCATGCGTTTTGACCTTGGACCAGTAAAGTAAGTTCAGTTTTCTTACATCACTGAGAAAATATCATAGAGTTAAGCTTACTCCATTTGTGTACTGTTTGCCTCCGAACCGATGAATAACAGCTGACCTATCGTCACCCTGCGATGCTGCGAGATGACAACAGCTGATGGTCATCCAACCAGGTTTACAACGCTGGGCTCTTCGGTTATCGATTCTGCATTCGGACCGCTGTGTTACTCTCAGGTGTTCAATCTCGTGTTGAGAGCCGGATGGCAGCCTTTCCAAGCTGCCATCCGACTGTTCCGACACGTGTTTAGGTCTTTCGATGATGACATTCAAGGGAGCCCAATGTAATCACTCACAAGCATTCCTTATGCTTTCAGTTTTTTCTGTGCTAATCTGTATAAGTTGAAGCGTGTCGATTTGCATTTGCGTTCTAAAGTTTAGAGAAGTGCTGAAAACGTGCTACCATATCAATCATTGTTTGTTTTTTGTGGACAATTTCTGTGTACTTCAAATTCCGGTTTTTGTGTAGTTTCCGAAGGCATCATAGTCGGATTCAAGAGATTGGGGCAGGTTTTCGAAGGCAGGCGACAGTAGATAGACAGTGATGATTTTGCGCGAAATTCGCTTCCAACAGTGACTTGAAACACATTTTGCGAGTTTTGCGCATCATGTTTTGACCTCTGGTGTTGGACTGATGACTGGTAGAAAATCTTTAATACTTCCTTGTAGAAAGACCCCATACTTTTTGAGGATGCTCAACTGGTCAACTGCTTTCTCGCCATTTAACATGCAACCATGATCTGCTTCCCTTCACCCTCTACAATATACCTAAAATACAGAGCGCCTCACTGTTGCAGCGAAGCGCGCTATGAAGTTTGTGACAAACAGAAGTACACACACATACACATGCACATATATACTTGGCGAATTATATATAGTAGTAGTCAAAATTTTGAGAACGGAGCCTAATTCTGGAATGCGATTTTTGAATAAATATTTTTGCAGGATTTTCGCGAGGCGCACCCAACATCACGTGTGCTCACTGAGTCTACCACCATCGTTGGCATCGAAGAGCCCCGCTTGTGTGATTCTGTTTCATCCACAGGATCCATTAGCTATTGCTTTTGACCGCATTCGTACTGATCAGCCGTTCACATTCTATTTGCCATCAGCACCGGAAGATTGACGGCAGGTACTCATCAACTGCTTTTGTCCAACATAGTAGTTAAAACCGTGATTCGAATTTTTCATAATATTGAGCGTGTAAGGTCTTTGAGAACTAGCGGACTATGAATCACTAGAGAGATACTAAAATCTTATTGGCTTTTGTAAACTTTCTTCCTATGTTTCGAAGAGACACCACTTTTTGTCAGCACGATGCGAACAACAGCGGCTGTTCGGGAGATGCATGTGGCGTTAGTAGGAATGACAGGATCAGGAAAATCTGGTGAGTCTTCGAAACTTAATCGGAATCGAGAAACGGCGAGGCCTTTTCATTTTTTCCACGAGGTTATAAGATAGAGGAATCGTTTCGGGAGCTTCCGTTTGTCTCTCTGATAACAAACACCCAATATTTACAGTTTATTTGGTCTGCGGCATTATTTTTTGCAACTGTAGGGCTCAGTGTTAAATATGTAGGTAGGTGGACTATGTATCTAACATTACCGATCGAAAAACCTAGCGGCATCAAAAAGTTGCACGACTATGTGCATTCGGACGAAGTCATTTTATTCAAAATAATGGGTTAATAATTCTCGCTCCCTGTCAACTGCCAAAATGAAGTTGAATCGCTGATTTAGTATTATTCATCTCGAACTATTCTTCGCTTCAGCCATTTCGCTGCGTCAAATACATAACTGAAGCGATTTATTGGAGAAATATTTTGATTGTCGAGTTTTGGCGCTACGTTTCTTATCATTTTGTTATCAACTCGTTTCATTCAGAAAACAGTGCTTTGTTCGCTAGGACAGAAAGGCGAAGTTTTTTTTTCTGGTGCGGGAACCCCAGGTCTACGCCTGATCAGTGGTAGACCTGAGGTTCCCACAACGAAAAAGTTTTGCTGTGTGAAGAAAGCTTAAGTCGTTTTCTGTCCTAGCGACCACACCCCAGGGAACTTCTCGACGGATTTCTGCAAATTCTGCTGTAAATGATTGTTTCGGCGTTATTTTACCTATTTATACATTGCTGTTTTGGATCGGTCAGCGGCCCGTATTCTCATCAAGTCGGTGGTTGGTTGGTTTGTCCCAACGAGAGGATAAGGGTCGTGGTATCTGTAATGTCTTGGTAGCTCCGGAATCGTTTTTGTGATTTGTAGAAGGCGGATAGTTGGCTGATCAGAGAATTGCTGAAATTGGACAGAGAATAAGCGTTTTAAGGTAAAATACTTCTCGCTTCGGACTTCTCGATGGCCAGTGTTCATAGTTCAGGACGGGGTTATAGTGCGTAGATGGAAGGTTTAACCACGCTACCGAAATCCGTCGACCGGTGCCACCGTTGGGGCAGTCATGTAGAGGTGGGGGAGACCACTTTCAGGGTAAAGTTTTACCATTCGTCACAACGTGAAAGTTTACATTGGTTTTCATTTCTTTCCTCTTGTAGTACTGCGATGTTGCCGTGATGCATCTGCGCTTTTCATTTGTCTTTAACAGTAATTCCCGAATTGTTCAGCTTTCAGCAGGTGTGTATTCTCCTTTGTAGAAGACACCTACTGCCGTCAGGATACTGTAGCCGGGCAGCCCCTGATGGTTTGGATGATGGATACGGTAGATGATGCATCGCGAGACGAAATGCGATGGCTGGCTTGGGCTGATGTGATATTTAGTGGTAAGCGACGTCGACAAAGTCAGCTCAGTTTTACAGTGCGTAAATTTTGGTTACGTTGCTTTTGACCAGATCCAAGTCCATCTCAGTTACCCCTTGATATTTTTTTTCTTCTGCTTGAGATTTGAAGATTTACCTTTGTTTTTCAAGGTATGCAGAAAACATTCTCGAGCGCATCACCAAGCATGAGCATTTACTGTGTGCTAGAGAACATAAGACGATTCTACTGGGTAACAAGAACGATTTGGAGCGATATCGGTAATACTTGTTCGTCAGTTTCCATGACCCTAAGCATCTCAAGTTATCTTAACTTCACATTTTTGTTCATATAAGTTGCTGCGTTGACCAACTCACCATATGAGTGGAGTGCATAGGGTGCGAACTTCGTTGGGAGGGGGGGCACACCTCGTTAATGCTCACTGTTAGACCTGAGAGCAACCCTTTTGGTGTTTAACCGTATGGATAAGACGAAAAGTAAACGACTCATTCTGAGTGCACTTTTGGTAATGACCGGTTGCCCTACATCATGCACATCATGCTCGCACCCTTAGTAGCTCTGGGCTCCAACGCCCTTGCGCCTGGCAAGAATGTCACCCCATAGTTCATGACGATTTTCTTGAACCACAAGGTCCAAGCCAGCAGGGCGAAATCTTCGAGAACGCTCAAGAGTACTTCGACACTACACGATTCTGTATCAGAAGTAATTCCGTAATGTGGCATCAGTTAATCGTGTCAATGGGTGGGAAACACTTAATCGCGTTTACTGATTAGTTAAAAGGACTTAATGAGTGCCTACCCTAATCCCCAAGTGGAAATTCACCAATGTAGAATTTTAAAGGGGTGTTTTCGTCTCGAGATCGTTTATGAGAAGAGAAGTGATGGGGAAGCGTTAAAATTAGTTGAAATTTTTTAGAGTCGCTAATCCCGTCGTCCGAGTTCCCGTTAGCTCTCGTACTTTCAGGCAAGTATCTGAAGCGGAAGGTGAAGCGATGGCCAGCAAGTACAAAATACATTTTGCCGAATCGACAGCCACCGGAGATCCACGCCCATTGTCACAACTACTTCATACTACTTTCCAGGTAAGCTGTGGTGAAGTCGTTTTATCGAGCTCTATGCTAGTCCAATCACTCTATGGTTGTTGGAATCGCAGTACATACTTCATTTGAATTGGGTGTGAAAGGAGCATTGCCGCTGAAATTGTGTCAAAGTTGAGTGTTTTAATAAACTAATTGGAAATTACAGAATATTCTAACTGGAACAAGAAGTCCATCGCCTCGTTTGTGCTCCTCAGACTCAGAGATTGTCACACCTAGTGAGTGTTTTGTCATTGCGTGGACTGTCAATTGCTAATTGAGATTTTGAACAACGGAAATACAATTTATAAATTTTAGGGAAATCGGCTTTCTCAGCACTTCGTTCAACAAGTCGATCCGGTCAAGTACGATCTAAAGCAGCGAAGCCGGTACAGTTACACAAGACGCCGAGTTTGAGCAAAATCAAGACGGGCAGCAAGTTGCTGAAGTTATTTCATAATTAAAGTATCGTCACGTAGACTTTAAATTATTTCATTAATTTATCTACCTTATTTGCGATTCGTGGTGGTTTGAAGGCATTTATTATTAAGTCATTGCAATACATATTAGGTTGTTGCAAATGTTGTCATTGGATGTACTTATTATTGGAATAGCAACAATTCGACACCTCAGAACAAGAAGCTAACAGAATTGCAACAACCTGATATTTATCAGGCGGAAATTGTTTCATTTTGCTTTTGTTATTATCATTCTTTTCACTGAATAAAATTTTCTTTTTTTGTCATTACCAGTTTTTTCCTGCTCATGTAACGGCCTCCAGGTCACTCAACCTTTACCAGCGACAAATGTTCAGACAGTTCAAGGGGAGCGAGAGCGGATAATTCCCATATCGGTTTCATGTCTTACTGACAGGGAATGATTTATTCGCTGACATAGGGCAATTGAGCGGGGTTTCGACCAAGCCGTCGAATTTTTTGCGCGCTTTTTGGGCTGGGGGAGGAGTAACGATGGGTAGTATTAGGAGGGGGCGATGTGCGTTGTCAATGCGGTAGTAGGCGTCTTAGGAACGATGACATTATACCGTCCGCTAGCAGACCGCCCTATTCTGCTTATCTCTCGTCCCCCATTCTCTCTCGTCTCCTCGTCCTTAGAGTTTCCCACCATAACACGCACTCTGCCATGCTATTGCAACGGTCAAATATCAGGTATCAGGTGGTGGGGCCTTATTTATGTCGTTGTTGACAATTTCTTACTTTATTTTTGGATCACATAACTATTCATATTTGAACAGCAACACCTTCTACATTTTTAATTGTCGTATTTTTCCGTTATAAATTTAGTGCCTTGGTATTACACTGCATAGTGCCATTCGTCTCAAAGGCGTTGGTTGGAATTTTTCACTGACTCGATTGATTTTTTCACTCTGTTATTGCTTGAATTCTGCTCTGCAGGCTGACAGTTGCTAAATGTTGTTTTGATGAAATGGCATGAAATGTGTTATTGTTAATTGCTGGAAATAATAAATTTTTAAAAGATATATTGAAGAGAAATCACCGATATCGGTCACTGCCAATGCTTTAACGATCTCCAGTGCTGTTAACTATTTTGGATTGCCAAGTTTCAACAAATACGACCTAGCTTTTTAAAAGTCACAGTACGATTCTTCCATTGAAAATTGCCCATCGACGAAACTTTCCTCACGGTCATCTGGATCAATCATGCGCAACAGAACTTTTCCTAATATCAGATCCTTCTCATCATCGTATTTTTAACACGTTGACACAGCCACGGCGTTTTGCGATTTTTTTCGCCGCGTTAGGATCAGAGCATCTTGCAGGCGCGTGTCGCCGTCCCATCTAACGGATTTGAGCTGAAAATATGCAAGCTGGGAATGGAGACAATGTTTTCAGGATATTCGATCAGTACAAAGCTTACAGGAAGGGCTACAACTGTAAGATTTCGATGGGCGCGAGTGACGGGTGTATGGGATGAAAAGCAAGTTATTTGTTCTTGCTTTCGGCAGGGGGACCTGAAATTTATTTGACGCGCGGTAGCCACCATTAAACATTCTCGGATCATCTTATAGGTTTGCATGCTTCTATACTGTTTTTTGTAATTATTTTGAAAAAAAGGTTTAATAGAATCGGGAACAATATCTATAAGGACTTATATGTTCTGTAATCCGGATGACCGGGTTACCTAGACAAGAGGCCGGTCGCGTAGCAAGAAGGCAGAAGCCAGCGGCGGGCAATGCGGCGCGTGATGTGTGAGTAGGACGTGTACTGGCTATAAACTTGACGCGAAATCACTAGGCACGCTCGACAAACTCGTCCGCTGACTCTGCCGCTGCGCGACTGGCCTCCTTTCGGATACCCCTTGGAGAACTTTCACTTAATTAACAAATTCAACCCATTCGGTCAACCACACCGTTTATGGTCACGCAGCGACGTGATCTATAGAATAAATGCAAAAAAATAGAGAAGCAGTAGCGCATGCGTGACAAAAAAATAAATTGTGTAGTTGCGACGCGCATGTGCTGGACGCGGTCCCACAGGACGATTAAAGTGCGTGCGCATGCGTTTTCACGCTCTGTCCGTTCTACGTTCGTGTTAAGGATGAACCATGTGTCGAGGAAATTCGGCAGGCAACGTGATCTTCAGACAGAGCCAACATTTTCCTCTACCCCATCTCCTATCTACCTCTATTGGATATTCCTACCAGTTCAGGGTTGGTCTCCCGCCAACCGCCGGGACCTTCTTTCACAGCGTACGCTTTACGGCCTAAAATCACCTTACGAAAGCTAATTGCATCCTAGGCCTGTTGGGGGTGGTTTCCCGCCTACCCTCCTCGAACACTTCACCCCCTCTCCTCTCCTTCCACTCACCTTCAGCTGCCACCGCAGCACCATGTGAAATAACTGGAAGTGACCTCAGTAGGTGTTTATGTAGCCGTTGGGGTGTTATCACAATCATGCCATTGCAAAACACTAATAGCTAAAGTCCTGTGAGCTACATGATTCTGTTAGCGGTTTGTTTATCCCATGAGCTTCCTTCTCACTCACTTCATTTTGCGGACGGACACACATACATACATACACACACACATACAGACATACAAACCGACACACAAAGTTAGCGCTTTATAATAATAGAAGGATAGTAGGCCCAAGTGTACGCTTATGGTAGCTTGAGATTGCTTGTGATCTTGCTCCAGCTGCCAAAAGTCCGTTAGTCGAGGGAAGGCTCCGAGGGAAATATATGTATTTCAGGAATTTCCATGGAATTCATCGGAAATTTCGCAAAACTGGTTGAAAATTCTGAATGTCCTCCTGAAATCACAATCCTAATCAATTTCTGTTTGCGCTCTCTCTGGAACACCTATCGAAATCGTCGATTTCACCAGACATGTCATCACTTTAGCAGTAGAAATACAATTTCTTCTTTACCACACCTAAAAGAGTCCTGGGTGTTGGCTCATTGTGTGTATGACTGCGAAGCGCTACGTTCTCTAATTTTTTTTTGATTTATTAATGAAGATTCGTGGTCCGCAACCTTGTCAAACTGTCCTCTTCTTTACAACCTCCTCCCCCCCCAGCTTATCGTAGAACCGCATCCTTCTGTGCGAAATTCCGAGGCTCATGTACTATCGTGACAGCCACCTATTGCACCAATGTTCACTGGGGCTTATTCTTTCTCGTGTTTGTCTGATTGACCGTGCTTATTGGAAGTGATACGTGCGGTACTTGCCATGAACCTTCGAAAAATTCGGCGCGAAAAACTCTA